GGATGGATGGGTGTAATAAAGTTCTTGTGTATTGCTTTAATATTTATCCATTGATGCATAGGAAATTGCAAAGGTTCCTATTGCTTTACAGCATGGACCAAAACATATTTCATATTTACAACAAAATGCATGATCTGTATTTTGAAAGAACTATTTGCCTACGATTATTTTACAGATGAAAATTTACTTCAAAGCTAGTAGTATTACTTGAAAAAAACTCCTAATGTTTTAAAACCCTGTTATTTAACAGACCACCTATTTTATCACCCACTTTTGGCATATTTCTAACTATATACTGTACTCAAGCAACAGAGATGAAAACAATTTTCCTGACTTTCTAATGATTTCCTGACAATAAAATTTATTGATTCTGCAATTATTCATGCTGTGATGCTAATGTCAGCAAGCTTATTAAAGATCATTTACAGGCAATACACAATATACTATACACAGTATACTATATAACACCTAAGTAGTAGAGGTATAGTAAAGCTGCTACTATAAAACAAATATTATTACCTTGAGGCGAGGGGCAAACTTTGCACACTCTTGTTGCCAGTTGTGGAGTGTAGATGCTGGAGCAATGATTAGAAATGGACCCCATATACCTTGCGTCTGCAATTATAATAAACATCATTAACAATTTAAGATAAACAAGTAAGGTAAGGTAAAGGTAGTCTCATATATATTATTGAACGTAGGGGAATGAGCTGTTAGCCCTTGCAGGGATGTCACCAGCTTTTTGAAGTGCCGGTCGGCGATCATTCCGCATTTTCCCGGGGGTGGGGTGCCCCCCCCCCCCCCCCCCCCGGTTTTCCCGGGGGTGGTGGGGTTCGCCGTATTCGTGAAAGCTCTTAAAAACCGAAAGGCCTAAGTAAGTCGAGCAGGCCTAGGCCCAAGGCTAGCTGACGCGATTTTTTTTGGCTAGGCCCAGGTAGGCCTAGGCCAGGCCCAGGTAGGCCTAGGCCAGGCCCAGGTAGGCCTAGGCCAGAATTTGAGGAATGCAACAAAACAGATGAAGATGAGACTTACTGTAGGCCTAATTAAATTCAATTGACATTTTTTGTTTTAGATTAAAAAATAATAATGAACAAATCCCGGCGAAAAGGTGTCGATCCGACTGTACCCAGCCGCATTGTTTGCCGTAATTTCACATGTTTGACGATTACCACGATGAATGTGTATGTCACTGATTCATGTGCACTCATTTATTTATTTTTTGTCCATTTACACACATTATATATCAATTATAATTAAAAGTGAAAAACTTGAAATACAAAATGAAAAGAAAGTAAAAAAATAAAACATAAATCAGGTTTCGTAAATTTTTAATAATCTTCCTGCCCCGGACCATGATCACATAATAAAAGTAACACTTGAATGGTCACGATTTCAACTTTAACCTTTGAATGTGTACAGAGCAACCGTGTCATGCCGGTCCACGACGTTCGCTATGACTCAACTGGGCCTAGGCTGTTAAGTTAGCGATGAATAGCAGGGCAGTGCAGTATTTTGTTACAATTAACGAAACCACGGAAACATTTATTGTATTCTTATTGTCTTTATCTATCAATTTAGCTTGTCTATTGTGTTTAGGTAAACTAATTATTTTGTTACAATTTGTAAACTGTTGAAATAATAGTGGTGGTCGGGAGCCTGTAAATCCTGGTCGGAAATGTTGAGTGCTGGACGGGCCCGTCCACCGCCGACCAGCGTGGTTACATCCCTGCCCTTGGATTGGATTGGATTTATTCGGTGTAAACACCAAGATAGCCCACTAAAGTCTAGAAGAAGACTTATTTCTGGTGATGATTGGGCAGTACACCAGGAGACAATCCCCTACTCTTTTCTGAAGAGTGTAC